TAAACATGACAGCAGAGGAGAGTTGGGATAAAATAAGACGTCAAGACACATGGAGATCTCCCAGGTAGCAGCAGATGAAGAGAAAAGAACCTTCTCTCCAGAGTCAGCAGAGAAAGAAAAGCTTCCTCTAGAGCTAGTTCTCTGAATTCAAACTTCTAGTCTCCTAAATTGTGAGAAAATAAATTTCTGTTTGTTAAAGTCAGCTACTTGTGGTATTTCTTAGATGGTAGATAACTTAGATGGAGTCCTGGTGTGGCGCCAGACTGCAAAGCCATTTGAACTGCATGGGTGGCGGTTCAAGCTCACCAGTCACTCCTCGGAAACCCTATACAGGGTTGCTATGGGTCGGAACCGACTCGACGGCACTTAACAACAACAACCAGGCCCTACAAGTATAAGCTATGACCCGTGTCCTGAGGAGCCTTCCAGGGAGAGAGCTAGGAGGCCGATAGTTACCTGGTGTTTTAATGGTGGTTTGAACAAATGAAGAGTTTTGCACTATGAAGAGTCAGTCAGAGAACATCTGAGAAGCTTCCAGAGGTGGAGACATTTCAGCTACAGACTGAAAAGGGAAGGAATGAACCACTTGTTTTCATTCATCAAACCATCAATTATATTCATAGAATTGAGAAATTACATAGCTATACAACATGGAGTCCTGGTGTGGTGCTGTGGGTTCATACACCAGACTGCAAAGCCATTTGAACTGCAGGGTTGGCGGTTCAAGCTCACCAGCTGCTCCTCAGAAACCCTATACAGGGCCGCTATGGGTTGGAACCGACTCGACGGCACTTAACAACAACAACATACTACATCACTGTGCTAATCCCCAGAGACTCAAAAGACCATAAAGACACTCCTTGTGTACAAAAGGCTTGGATGAGGTGTAAACACGGGCGCCACCATTCTCCCTGGCACCTTAATGAACTCCACTCTTTTGGGTACCCTGTTGAGCTCAAACACAGAAAGTAGTTTCTTACTTATCCTCCAACACCTACCTGGTTTTTAGACTTTTCCATCTTTCTGCTTCTCAAACTCACAACACATACCTAAACTCTCAGAGAAGCTTCCAAACATGGTTTCCTACTCACACTAGCAATGAGCACTTCTGTCATATCCCAGCTGCTAGCTCCAAGGAGCTCTGGTAGCGTAGTGGTTACGAATCGGGCTGCGAACCTTAAGGCCAGCTTTCTACTCCCGTAAAGATTTACACCCTCGGAAACCCTGTACAGGGTCGCTATGAGTTGGAAGCAACTCAACGGCACTTAACAACAACAACAGCTCCATAGAATAAACACTGGACTGAAAACCACAAGGTCAGCAGTTCAAGTCCACCAGCCACTTGTGGGAGAAAGATGATGCTTTCTGGTCTCAAAAAGACGTACAGCCTCAGAAACCCTTTACAAAGGGTCGCTATGAGTCACAACTGACTCAACAGCAAACAAAAACAACAAGAGCTTACTCAAGGATTCCTGGTGTGGTGTTGTAGAATAAGCACTGCATTGCTAACTGCAAGGTTGGCTGTTGAAACCAACCAGCCCCTCCTTGGAAACCCCATATGAGCATGAACTGACTCGACAGTACTTAACGACAACAACCTTTCTCAAGACCATTCACGGACCATGCCCATGGAACAGAACCCAATGTCTGTACAACCTGGCCTTGAAGCATTACGGCTGGCCTCTGAATTAGAAAAAAAAGTACCCTATTGGGGCATAGCATGTAAGGAGCCTCTGTATGAAGAAAAGGTCACCATTTCCTCCTGGTGACTTGGGATTTCACCCAAGTTTCAGCCCAAAGTAGTCCACGTGTCTACTATACCACACATGTCACTTTGAGCTGATCTTACTACTTTCATTTTTTCTCTCACTACTCCCCTGCCTACCTTCCTCTCCAGCCCACTGGCCTACTTTCCTGAACAAATGTAACAAGTTCTCCCTCCCTGCACACATTTGCTTCTGCCCTCCTCGACACCCACCTTTCTTTTAAGACTTATTTCACGCTTCATATACTCTGAATTCCTATGCCCCAATCATTCTATTTGGCACTTATGCATTTGAAAATTATACCCAGGACCGGATATAGCAAGTTTCCTTCCTCCTATTGGATTGTGAGCTTTATTATAAAAAGCAAGGATCAGATAGATGGCAAGGATCTCTACCATGTCTAGTCCATGGGGGATTAATTAGAGCTGAAGTAATGAGTGATATTGTTGATAATGGTAACAAAGATTTACAAGAACATTTCCCAAAGACTTCCAGTAGATAAGCGGGTTCTAGAGAGTGAGTATTTAGTAAGTCTTATTTTTCCAACATTGGAAACAATATAATTCCGTTTGTTCTCAAAGATGGTGGTTGTTGTTGTTAAGTGCCTTTGAGATGGTTCCGACTCATAGTGACCCTGTATTGGGTTTCTAAGGAATGACTGACTGGTGGGTTTGAACTCTTCATATCTTAAACGTGGGACTCACCTCTCAAAAGATGGTGTTATGAGGACAACTCTAGGGGGGTACACACACATAGAATGGTCAACCATTTGAGATCCAAAGGGCAGTATATACCTAAGGATAAAATTCAGAAGGCTTGGGAAAGGAGGAATGTAAGCAAGAATCACAGGGAGGAAGTGGGACAAGTGACGTTACATACAGGGGTTGCAGTCATTGAGATGAAATAAAGTGTGTGGTTTGTTAAATGTAAAACTGATGATCTGCTCTGGACATAGTCACTCAATCCACAATAAAAAGCAAAAAGAGAAAAAAAAAATGACTGAAAAAAAAAGAGGATGTTACTCTGGGATTTTCAGAAACCCCCAAGCTCCACCCACTGAATAGCATGGCTCACTGTAAAAAGTTTACTTCCAGCCTATCAGCACAGTCTTGGTCTCTTGGTTTCTGCTCCACTCTGTTTTAACAGGTGTAGGTTTTTTTGTTTGGTTGGTTTTCTTTTTACAGACATTTTGACAAAGAAACTGCAAAAGCAGCTACTACCAAAAAAAACTGTACCAGCAGCAGATACAGAGCAATGAACAGACTTCTTCACTTCTCTATCTCATTTTCTCCCTGGCTTTCCCCACCCTCCCTGCCCCCAGGGCTTAAGAGATTTTGGTATCTTGGTAAAATAACATATGAGTTACTATACATCTCAGCTTGCAGACCAGAGGGCCTTCTCTTTTCATGGGCCTCCCCCAAGCCACACAGGAAATTGCCTGAGTGATCATTTCAGGGCCTCAGCCAAGCTCTGTTCCTTCCTCAATGGAGGGAGAGAAGAAATACAGGATTCTCTCTGTGTCTTCTGGTAATAAAGTTCGAACCTGCATTTGGCCCTCAATCAGTGACCAGCTTTTAAGCCTAAACTTGCTTTCTTTCCTATCTCCTACCCATTTCTTAAAGAGATTTAGAAAGGTCATACATACATCACATGAACCCCTTGGGCCTAAGGCACCTTGTAAGCTCCCAGCAGAGAGAACCAACTTTAGAAGTGGCACCCAATACAATAAACTGGACATTCATTCACTGAGCCATCACCAGCCTCTGCCCTGATGATCTAGCAGTTCAGAGAGATTCCCATTGCTTGGTGCTTTACATGCTGAAGGCAGCTCGCAAACACCACCTCATGAGCCTTTCTGAGAGTATGTCTGTAAGTCACAATCAACTTGATGACACAAAACAACAACAAAGCAACACCTCTCCTCCCTACCCCTCTCACCTGGTCCTAATCTGCCTGAGTTTTCCAGCCTTGCAAAAGTTTCTATGAGGGTCCATCTCAGATTCTAAGGGATCACATGCTCCTTTGTACTTTATAAAGTCTCCTGGAAGGTGGCTGCTGTTTGAAGAAGGTAGACTGAATATTGCCTAAGACAAGCCCCTGCAGAGAAGTCAGAGAGCCTCATAGGCCGAAACAGTGATTCTGGCTTAGAAGAGGTGATCAGGGTTAAGAGCTAACCCAGAAGCTGGGACGAGAAAGCAACCTCATTCTTGCTGACCATAGTCTAGTGTGGAGCCTCAGTTTCCCTTTGAAGCCTGTTATTGTTGTAGCGTGGTAATAACCTCACAAGTGAATAAAAAGTTTGCACTTTCTCTTCTCTTCCTTTTAAAAGCCCCAGGCTCTGTTGAAATTGACTCAGGGCTAAATGTCAAGTGTCAGTTTCAAGAGGGAAGCCTGTGGAGGCCTCAAGACAAGGAGTAGGGAACAACCTGTGGAATATATCTATCTAGCCTTCCCTCCACTGGACGGTGACTGCCTGGAGCCTGCAAAGGTTTTGAGCAGTACCACAAATGTCCCCAGGACTTTGCTCAGCAGACAGAGGATCTGTGGACCCCAGATATGGCCAGCAAACCCCAATACACACCTTCTAGGAGGGCACAGGTACCCAGGGGAGTCGCAAATTTTATCAGAAATAATGTCATCTGACTGCGCAGTGAGGGGTGCTTTTCAGAAAGTTCTGAAAGAAGATGTGACCAACAGAAGAGGGACTTCAGAAACAAGAAAACAACTGGACTTTCTAGAAGGCCAGTCTGCAAGCAAAAAGGGAAGCCTACAGACCCAGGCAGAAGACAAGACTCCCTTTACCAGTTCTGTTTCTCTTTCAGTACTCCTCTCTTCAGACTTGTCTGCTTTCTGGAAGTTTGTGTTCACACATGTGTTTGCTCATTTACAAACCTAGGTAGTTCCTAACTTTTTTCCCCCTGAAGCACTGAAGTCCCTAATCAAAATAATTGGGCCCCCAGAAAGGCCTCTCTCAGTCTGTCCCTACGCACCTCCTGCCTACTCAGAGGAGTCTGTCTGTAAGGTAGAGGTGATCCCCAGAAGTTGGCGAAGGAGGCATATGAGCAGCAGGCATTTGCCCTTTTCCTTGGCAGTAGCAATGAACCCTGGGTTTTCTCCTCTAAGAAAGGGCAATTGCCTGGGGAGGGGGCACCCTTGACCCTGAGCCCCGCGTGCTCATTGGTCTCCTGGTCTGGCGGAGAAGCGCGCCCTGAGCTTCTAGCCAGGGTCCTTTACCTCCATGTCCTCCAGGTGCCGACTCCGCCGCGAACGCGCCCACTTGCTCGGGCCGGTGCTTGCGATGCCTGTGGTCCGCTGGTTCCCGCCCGGGTCAGGTTCGGGCTGCGGCAGACACAGGGCAAGCGGGCGGCGGCGTGGCGAGCCCAGCTCCACTCGGCTTCGGGACTGCCCCGGCCCTGGGGCCCAGCTTTAGCGAACGAGGAAGGAGGAGGAGGGAGGAGGGAGGGGAGGGGAGTGGAGGGGACGGGAGGAAGAAAGGGAGGCAGGCGATCAGGGTTAAATTTAGACACAAATCTAAACAGATACTGTCCCTCCCAGGGAAGGAAGGACTCAAGAGAGGAGGCCAGGACTCCATTAATCTGCCCAAACATGGGGATGGGACAGCTGCCTTACCCCTTTCTTTCTAAGCTTCTCCAGGACCCTGGTCTTAGCCTCGTTTGATAGGCCTTATTATTATTGTTGTTGTTGTCCTAAAATGGAAGTTGTACTTTCATTCCTGTTTTCCCTCCTTTCTAGTCCCTTATTTTATTTGCATCCTTGTTACTTTCCTTCCTCCCTCCCCACTTTCTTTTTATTAAATAGCATTGAAGTCTACCTGGTTTTCCTGGAGTTCTTTGGTGGAAAGTTAAAAAGGATCCTTCCTACCTAGTCCAATACCTCTGTATTCTCTGCTGGCCTCAGAAGAGGGATTGTTGGGATGCAGGTTTCCACAAGGAGAGCGGAACTGGCAGGACCAACTTTCCCTCTGAAATCTCTTTTCTGCTATACCTTCCCGTCTCACATTTTCAGGAAACCACCATATATTCACCTATTTTCTATGTTCATCCTTGTTTCATCTTCCGGAGGAGAACAAATTCAAGCAAAACTTTTCATGTTCCTGTAGCAGTAAATCTTTTCCTCTCCCCACTGATTTGATTGATGCATTTGATTTTATGAACTGCTTGCTAAAGTGCCTTGGCTCTGTTCCTATTAAATATAGTAAAGGGCAAGATCCTGAACATAGCAACCGTCCCGCAGGGCAGTCTTAGCCCTCTGGGCAGCAAACAGGCTGAAGAAGAGGAGGCTTCATGGGAGAAATTTGGAGACGGGAATCTTCACCCTGCTTCCAGTTCCCACACTTGTCCTTGGTGTCCCCAGCGGATCTCTCCTCCTAGGACAAAGAGGAAGAGTGGGGAATGACTACACAGTTTTGTGAATGGAAGGGAATGGGCTGGCGGGGGTGCCTCTGTGTAGTTCTGCAACATTCTCCTGCCCACCCCACTTCCCAATCCCTGACCCAGATCAACCAAGGAAAGGGAGAGCTACTGCTAGAGGCAGACTGTAGAATGGGTGATGGTGAGCACAGGCAAAAGAAATAATTTTAGCGTTTACTCATACTAAGACAAATGGCCAAGAACCTGCCTTACATCCAACACTACCTGAAAACTTTCAGGTATTTAGTTTGCTGCTTTAGTTACCAGTGTTGGAGGCACGAATACCTTCCTATCAGATAACTTTCAAGGTCTAACTTTTTAAAAGCACGCTAGTACCAGACTAGTTGCTAATGCTTTTAACTTACCTGAGAATAGGGGCAAGACCCCTGGTTTCAGCATTAGGCAGACTAAAAATTGCATTCCAGATCTGCTACTCTTTAGCCATGTTTCCTTAGACAAGACACCTAACCTCTCCTAACCTGTACAGGGAAGGAGGCACTCTGGATAAAGTTACTATTTTGATAATGTTTAGCTTCATGTACAAACTTTATGACCAGGGGCCTGCTATTTCTTTTGCTTAGAATCTGGCCCTCTGGGGCCTGTTGAAAGGGATTCCCCACCCTCTAGGGCTTCATAGGGATTCCCCTCCTATTCCAGCTACAGAGTTACGAAGGTGATGACACTAGGGTAGAGTTGGTAGCATAAAGGTAGATTTGCTGGTACCCTGCAATGTGTACTTACGATTTCTTTTTTAAAACTTTTTTTTTTTTCTTATTTTTTTAACAGACATGGGACTGAACTAGTGATGAAAGCTCCTTTAGCACCATAAGGCTATTCTTTTCCCCTCCACCCAGCCCTCCTTTCTGCTCAGAATGGGCTGGCCCCAGCACAGGTTTCTGGCTTCACAAACAGAAGAGTGGAAGTGCCTACCCAGAGGAAACCGTTAGGCCAGATAGCATCGCTGTCACCAAAGGTCACTTAAAACATCTCCTCCCCACTCCCTTCCCAGGCCCTTCCCTTAGCTGAAAACAGAAGACCCACAAAGTGAACAGGCTCTGTCTCTGCCATACACTTGGGTCCTAGACTGTAATTTGCTGGAGCACACACAAGAGTCAAGAAGTACAGAACCAGGCATTGTTCCAGAGCTCTTTTGGTCCTAGGCAAAGACCTTCACTGAGAGGAAGGGATTGGAAATGGGGAGGGTGGGGAGGGAGGGATAATCAGCCATGTGCAGGTGTGGGTATGGGCTCACCTTGTCTTTCCCTCCTACCCTTCCAGAAGTCAGAATGGAGGTAGCTTAGTGGGTAAATGCCTATATTTTCTGAGTTACTGGTTTGCTTTGTGGGCTGGGAAGAACTGACTCTCCAAAGGGAAGGGAAAGCAGTTCTCTGAGGGGTTGGTTCCCCTCACTCTGTGGGGCTGGGTGGCCACAAGGCTCCACTTCCTTTACTCTCCCCTGAGACTCTCCATTCAAACTCCCCTGGTAGTTTGAACTAGCCAAGCAATAAATGTTGTTATGTGCTGTGGAGTTGGTTCCGACTCATAGGAACCCAGTACAGGGTTTCCTAGGCTGTAAATCTTTATGGGAACAGAAAGCCTAATCTTTCTTCTGTGGAACAGCTGGTAGTTTCAAACTGCTGACCCTGAGGTGAGCAGCCCGATTCGTAACCACAACACTATCTCAATGTAAAGAAAACAAAAATCCTCACCACTGGACCAATAAACAACATTCTTATCAACGGAGAAAAGATTGAAGTTGTCAAGGACTTCTTTCTTCTTGGATCAACTATCAACACTCAATGAAGCAGCAGTCAAGAAATCAAATGATGAATTAATTACATTAGGCAAGACCTTTTAAAGTGTTGAAGAGCAAAGATATCAGCTTGAGGACTAAGGTGCGCCTGACCCAAGCCATGGTATTTTCAGTAACCTCATATGCATGTGTAAGCTTGACAATGAATAAGGAAGACCATAGAAGAATTGATGCTTTTGAGTTATGGTGTTGGAGGAGAATATTGAAAGTGCCATGGGCTGTCAAAAGAACCAATAGATCCGTTTTGGAAGAAGTGCAGCCAGAGTGTTCCTTAGAAGCCAAGATGGCCAAACTTCGTCTCTCATACTTTGGACATATTGTCAGGAGGGAGCAGTCAGTCGCTGGAGAAGGATATCATGTTTAGTAAGGTGGAGGGTCATAGAAAAAGAGGAAGACCCCCAACGAGATGGATTGGCCAAGTGGCAGCATCGATGGATGTAAGTGTGGCAACAGCAGTGAGGTTGGCTCAGGATCGGGCAGCATTTCGTTCTGCTGTGCATAAGGTCACTATTGGTCGGTACCGACTCGATGTCACCTAACAACAACAACAACAACACACTACCAGATGTCAGTATAGAAGGAAGAGAGGCCCCTGGTGGTGTAGTGGGTTATGCATTGATCTGCTAACTGTAAAGTTAGCAGTTTGAATGTCCCAGCTGCTCCACAGGAGAAAGGTACGGCTTTCTGCTCCCATAAATATGACTAAATAAATTTCATCCCTAAATCCTGGGAATGGACTATAGCAAAAAAATCAGAAGACAAAAAAATTTACTCATTCTACCGCAAGTGATTGTCACTGAGAAATGGAGTTGTGTTTCCCAAGATGAAATCATAAAGTCTTGTGTGTTTAAAGAACACCAGATGGTTTCCCAGAGGAAGATGATAACTTTTTAACATGTAAAAAGTAAATGGAGCAGACACCTCTCAACCTTAAGATGACAGAGAGAGGAGGAAGGGCTAGTTGGTTCAAAGTTTAGGAAGACTTGGGAACTCCTGAGCCCATGGACACTGACCTAGCCACTGGGGACTACAGCTGAGAGTGAAGCAGCCAACTGATCTGAAGTGGGGGGAGGCTTTCAAGAACACCCAAACTTGCAGACAGGTAACCATGGCTGGGATGGCTTGTTGATCAGAAATTGACTAGAGGAAGATAAAGAAATTTGATACAAGGAAGCAAGTATAAATTGCTACAATTTGATGAAGTTGACCTTTGCTTATAGAAGTTGTTATTGTTGTTAAGTGCCATCAAGTTGATTCCTACTCATAGTGATCCTGTATAGAGTTTCTGAGGAGGAGCTGGTGAGCTTGAACTGCTGACCTTGTAGTTCAAATGGCTTTGCAGTCTGATGCATTAACCCACAGTGCCACCCCAGGACTCCTGCTTATGGAAGTTGTTGCTCAAAATTCTAACCTACAGGGAAGGAGTCTTCATATCAAGGGCCAAGCCTATCCATCCCCTGAGGGTTGATAGGGACATCCAACTTAGACATTGGCCACCAAAAATGGGGGGCTATAAAGACACAGGGTAGCTATGGGTCGGAACCGACTCGACGGCACTTAACAACAACAACATAAAGGCACAAAGTGGCTGGCTTACACGTTTTCAAGAGTGTGTCTAGTTTCATAGTAAGGAGGGTAGGGCAGAATCCCCACTAAATAGTTTTCATCTTGTCTAGATAAGTCTGGTGAAAGGGGATGGGGTAAGATTCTTTTGATTCAATAGTGAGTAATTATTATAGTCACAACTGTAAAGGTAGAATATGTGTAACAAAAAGGAGGGAGTGATTAATCTTTCATTCCAGGAATAGAGGACCCTAGGACCATCAAAAGGGAAGAGCATGAGCAGAGTGTGGGATCCTAACCAGAGAAGCAGCGACACCAGAGCCAGAAGCAGAGGTGATGGCATAGAGAGGTAGAGGATAGAGTGGATGAAAACTCTAGGCTCATGATAAGAGAAAGGCTGTGTGCCAGTGGGCAGGAGACTGGCTTGCAAAATGTGCCCTTTGGTCATTTAAATGAATATATAGTTTCTCTGTGTTTTGTGTACATACAAAAAAAAAAAAAGAGGGAATGGAGGCAAATACTGTTAATCGATGGTGCGTGGAGGGGATTGTAATATTGCAATGAAACAAAATACTATTGGTTAAGTGAAAACACTGAAGATCTGCCATGTAAACTATCACTCAATTCACAATAAAAGATTTTTTTAAAAAAAGGTTTACAGAGATGAATTAAATGATCATTGAGCCCCCCCTCCCCCAACCCCCACAAATAAAAGAGAAGTAAATGGAGGAAGAAGGTAGCAAATGGAGGCTGCACAAAAAGGGTGTTGGATGACCAGCAATGGTTGGGGACCTCATGAGGAGGGCTTTCCTCTGAGCCTGTTAGGGGCAGTGAACTGCAGCAATCATAAGAATGGTTACTCAGGGAAATTGAGCAAATAAGTAGACATGTTGAAGACAATGAAAGCCAGGTTTCTCACTGTTGGAGATGGAAGGTACAATTATGCAAAGGGAGAGGGGCTAGAATGGGCTCTATGCTGTTGGATTGGAATGGGAGCTATTAATATAAACTTGTGATTTTCAAAATATATGTATGGTGGCGGTGGTTATGTGCCGTGGAGTTGGTTCCGACTCATAGCAACCCTGTACAGGGTTTTCAAGGCTGTAAATCTTTACGGGAGCAGAAAGCCTCATCTTTCTCCCGCGGAACAGCTGGTAGTTTCGAACTGCTGACCTTGAGGTTCACAGCCCAATTCGTAACACTACACTACATAAATGTACATGTAAATGTGTATACAAAAATATGTGTACCTCCTACCTTGATCCTCTGAAAAGGTCTGGGAACGCTGACATCCCAGCAGTCATGAATATACATAGAACCCAGATCTTGGTTTCTAAATATTATTTATCACTAAAGGAACCAAGTCTCTTTGGAGGAAATGGCTAACTCTAGGGCTAGGGCAGGTACAGAGCATGATAAGCCTGGGTCATCTTGTTGGGCCAGAAAATTCTAAATGAATGATGGGAGATGTTAAAAGGACACCAAAGTCCCAGACCGGGCAGTGTTTCATTTTGTTGTGCATAGGGTCGCTATGAGTCTATACTGACTCGATGGCACCTAACAACAACAACAACAACAACATATCAGCAAATGAAGATCCTGAAATTTTTATGCCATCCATATAATAAAGGTTGACTCTACTTTGAGTCTTCGTCAATTGTATTTTGAGTACCTTTCAACTTTAGAGTCTCCTCTTCTGTCACTATATCAGGTAATGTTCTGCTGCTATACATAATGTTTTCACTGGCCAGGTTTTCCAGGAGCAGATGTCCAGGTCCTTTGCCCTAGTTTGTCTTAGTCTAGAAGCTAAGCTAGAATCTGCCCGTCATGGGTGACCCTGCTGGTATTTGGAATACTGGTGCATAGCTTTCAGTATCACAGCAACATGCTAGCCACAGTGGGATCTTATACAATATCAATGTATATCTCAAAGAAAACATAATTGTACAGAGACAAATCTTAACAAACCCCATCTGATCAAAATGAACACCACTGTGGTGAAATGAGTTTCTTTATATGGCTG